GGGGCGGGGGAGGGGGGGCGGGCGGGGGGCAGCCTGCCCCGCGCCGCCTTGCCGGGGCGTCCCTTTCTCCCCCCCCCCCCCCCCCCCTCCCCTTGCACGATCCCCGCGCCGCCCTCCCAGGTTGATACCTCCATCACCGTCCCCTCCCTCCAGCTGAACTTCAGCGACCCCGAGGTTGTCGCCGCCCTGAAGGCCTTCGTCCATCCCCACTCCAAGTCCACCTGGTCCGTTGCCCGCCACATGCGCGTGCCTGCTGCTGCGTGGATTTTACAAGTCCCGAGCCTTACCCCCCCGCCCCCTTTCCCCGCGCCATCCATTCCCATTGCATACGCAGGATTCTTCTCCAGTACTCCTCGGAGATCAACGCCCTGACCCTGGCCGGAACCGGCGAGGAGGAGGCCGGTGAGGAGGCCCTGCGTTCCCTGCGCGACGAGCTGAGCGACGCCCACGTCATGTACGGCTGCGTGCGCGTGTCCGTTGTCGGCGGTGGCGAGCGCAGCAAGACCGCCTTCGTGGTCTGGGTCCCGGCCGGTGTCCCGACCGTCATCAAGGGCATGGTCCACCACCACATCAAGTCCGTCAGCGAGTTCATGCGCGTACGTGCCTCCCTCCTGCTCCCTCCGCCCGCCCGCCCCGGCGGCCCTTCCTCCTGCATGGGTCCTCGTGCACTCACTGACCGATCGGTTGTGCCACCTCCATCACCGGCTGCCGACGCCATCGCCGCACATGCGCACCCGTGCAGCCGTACCACCTCCAGATCGACGCCCGCGAGACCAGCGATCTCGACTTCGAGACCGTGCACGATCGTTGCGAGCGCTCCGCCGGTGCCCGCTACTAAGCACCTACGCCCCTCGGCAGGGGGTGGTGCCATCATCGCATGTCCCCCCTCGCCTGGGCTGTCTGCGCCCGGCTGCCGGCCGCCTGTGCCCTGCCACGCCTGCTGAACAGGCTTGGCCGGGGCGCGAGGGCCAAAGAGACACCGAGACCGAGCGAGACCCCGCCTCGCTCCCGGGGCAACGGTGTTACCACCGCCGGCCGCCAGCGCGCGCCCCATCCACCCTCGACGATTCTCCCTCTCCCCCTCCTCCCTCTCGCCGGTGTGCCTGAGCGCATCCCCCCCCCCCCCCCC